AGTCAAGAGTACGAAGGATGTTCGGGTAAACCCTCGATACATTCAGGTGGGATATTATGTCCTACGTCGACGGGAAGCCAGTCAACCTTTGGAAGGTGGGAGGCTATTTCAGAATTGGGAAGAGCCGTACATCATCAGCGCTGTAGTGCGGCCGGGAACATACCGACTGGAGACAATAACCGGTCGGGTAATCGAGGGGACTTGGAATTCCGAGCACCTCGTTATGTTTAGGCATTAGTTTATTTATTGTAATTTTAGACAAAGTTGGGGCTCGGCCTGTGAGTCGGCCTCGTTCGTCATTTTTTTATAACTTGCGAATATTTTCTTAACCGCCTGCGAGCGGGAATGCTCAATGTATATACGATCGGTGATTGCTCGACCGTTTGCACACGGCGGCCCGATCGATTTTTTCCTTACCTTCGGTAAACGCAGGTTAGGTCATCACCATGCTATCTCGACCGGGCGAATCCATTGACCGGTTAAATGTGCTCCTCTTCGGCGGACATCTGGGTCACGCCACCGATCGGGAAAGCTAGAGCTCCCAGCATAATTCCCCGATCCGTCCAGCTTCTTTCCACTATCGCACCCACTCGTGCCTCGAGCGCACGATAGTGTGGGGGCTAGGATGAAGGAAGTGTTATAGGTCCGTCATTCGGGAACACCCCGATCGAAGAGGCTTACCAGTTTTCAAAAAATCGACAAGGCCAAAAGGTCGGGTAAACCCGATCGGGCAGGTCAACAGAACGTCGATGCTCCGATCGAAAGATGCACGACCGGGCCATAAGGCCGAGAGGTCGGGCATTAAGGGGGTGGAAAGATGCATGACCAGGCTATAAGGCCGCGAGGTCGAGCATTGGGTGTTCGGCGCATGCGTAATTGAAAATATAAATGCAACGAGAACGAGCTACACAAGTTGGACAAAAAATAAGTTTTATTAATATAAGAGGTGCTTGGTACAAACTCAGGACCGGGCTCCCGATCAAGTCCATTACAAAAGAAGAAGTTAAGTCTACTTCTTCGAAGGCTCCGCTTCGCTCGGGGTGGCCGCTGCAGTCCCGCTCGGCTCAGCCGTCTTCTCTTTCGGGTCGAACGGCGCTGGCCCGGGGTCGGGAAGATCTGGAGGAAGTGTGGTTAGGACCAGCTGAAGGTCTTCTCCTTGGAGCGCCTGTTCCATAATTTTCTGAGTCTTCTCGCGCATCTTCCTCTGGCCGGTTTTAAAGGCCCATCGGCCGAACGACCAGATTAATTCGTCCCCGACCGTTGTATCCCGGGCCGCCCGGAGGAACCGCGTGCCCGACTCTGGGTCCCGAAAGAGGAACCGGGCTAGCTCGCCCGGATTGTTCAACCGGGCTTTTAGTTCCGCAACCTCCCCGGTCGCCTGTTGGGCCACCGTCTTCAGCTCGGCGACCTCTCTGATCGCCTGTTGCGCGACCATCTCGGATAGTTCTCGGTCCTCCCGGCTCTTGTTTAGATCCTCCTGGGCTTTTGTCAGCTCCGCCTGGAGGTCCTTCACTTCTTGTAGTCGCCGATCGGCGACCTTTTTCAAAGCGGCGGCCTCGTTAGCCTGCAGGGCCCGTCGTTGCAGAAGTTGGGTCGCTCGGGAGATCTGCAATGCACATACGATCGGAATTAGCTTGAGTGGGGCTACTTGCGTATAAAGATTAAAGGAAAGAAATGTGTACCTCGGCCAAGTCGTAGCCGATCTTCTCGGCCACCTGGGTCGGGGTCATCTTGCTCAAGTCTTCCTTGGCTGGCCCGGCGTTGCCGATCCGGGCGAGAATGGACGAGCCGTCCTTGCTTCCCCCGATCGAGGGGCTCGGGCTGCGCTGTTCCCGCCGGCGCTTCAGTGCGCCACTATCAGTTGCCCTCTTCTCGGGCACCTTTTCTTTGCCCTTGGCGACCGCCACTCGGGCAACCAGGACGTCGGACGCGTCGACTACGTAGCCTTCCGGCGTAGTGATGGTCGAGGCGCCCATTGGTCAGGCAATCGGGATCTCATTCTCCCCGGCCGGCTTAGTCTTTGGCTTCTTCTTGCCAAGCACGATCTTGGTCACCGGGGGTAGAGGAGCGTCGTCATCACCAAAACCGGCCATCTTTGCAAGCAAATAAAAGAAGACAGTTAGATCGGGAATAAAGGGCGTTCGGGGTGTTAAGGTCGGGGAAGAATGGTTAGTGTTAGACCTTTTCCTTTCCTTTTGACCCGAGCGGGCGCCTTTGCGATTGTTACGCCCATTGGCTCGGGCTTGTACTTCTCGGTCAGATCGTAGACCGGCTCGGGTAGTTGGGCCGCTTCGTAGCTCTCGGCCGTCTTGAAGATCCTGTACTCGTAGATCTCGCCCCAGATCTTGGTGACCGCGTCCTTGAGGGCCTTTGTCTCGACCGGAATGACTTGTTTTCGGAAACGCTGGCTCCAAACCCTCTCAACCAGGAGGATCCATGGGTCGTACTTGACCGAGAATATCCGGTTCTTCCACCCCCGGTTATTCCCGGGTATGCCCTCGATCGAGCACATATCCGCCCGGGATTGGGTCATCAGGAACCCGCCCCCGTATGAAGCTGCCAGGACCTTCACCTGGTAGATAAAATTGAATAGCTCCATTGTGCAGGCCACGTTGTGCCGACCGCATATCTGAGGGAAGCACGCGATCATCCGGTGCGCGTTCGGGCAGATCTGTCCGGGCACGACCTGGTAGTAGCCCAGGAACGCGGTGAGAAGGCCCGAGAAGGGGAAAGTGATCGGGGCCATCAGGGAGTCGTAGTGCATCCCGATCCACTTTCCCCGGTGACGGTCGATTATGTTCCCGAGCTGGCGGCTGGTGTCGAACTCGACCCAACCAGCGAGTGTTGCAGCGATTTTAGCTGCCTCTCCCTTCGTCAGTAGGCTCGTCTGACTCTCGACGCTCTCGCTGTTGAGGAACTCGAACCCGTCCCCGCCCGGCGCCGCCTGCTCGGCCGGGTCTTCCTCGATCGGTTCCGCTGCGTCTCCTTGATCGCCCTCTTGGGGCTCGGCCTGAGGGTAATCCCCAATTACCCTAACAGGCGTTTCCCGAACGCCTTCGGCCGGGGAATTTCGTCCGCTCGTGGACGTCTCCCCGCTTTCACCTCTCGTGCTTCCCGATCCGCTGGAGCTCGACCCCGATGTCCCAAACGAGCTCGATGACCTTTGTTGCTCGGGGGCTCACTCGGGAGTTTGCTGTGGTCGTTGAACGACCTCCGGCGAGTAGGACATTATGTCCACATCCTCGCTGATTTGCTCGACCTCATCGTCATAATCTGCGACTAACGCGTTCTGGCTGTCCGAATCTGACATTCTTTCTACCTAAAGGTCGGTCGGGATTAGTGTGGGGCCCGGGACGTTTAGGTCGAGGTCAGTTTACCCTACCGCTACACGAAAATGTAAAGCAAGTGGTAAAGATGAAGAGTAGAGAACTTACCGATTGAGGAGACTTTGAAAGGCTTGGAAGCTGTTTGCTCGACCGCTCTGTTGTATTGCTTCGCTCGGGACTCTCTGAGTATACCGATTGATTCAGAAGGTTGAGGAAAGTTCAAATGAGGACCTCAAAGGCCTATTTATAGGAGAGCGTTTGGGCAGGAAACCAGTCCACTTGCGTGACGTGACCGCTGCTGATTCCGAGGCGACCGTTGCAGTCGTCGACACGTGGCAAGAGAGGGAATGACAGCTGGCCGGTCAGTTTGATGGCTGACGGTTGGGTTTCATCATCCCGTCCCGTTTTTCCCGGACGGTAAAAAAGGCACGGGCTGGGGGGATCTTGGTAGGGAATACCCCAACCGACATGCCTTTGTTCTTTTCTTCTTGTCTTTGCAGGTTGCAGGTCGGGTTTCTTGTGAATAACCCGGTCGGTTCCCGACCGGGTAGTGCTCGATTGGCGTTGCCGACCACCGAGCTGGTGAGAGACACGTGGCGACTCTACGCGTTGACAGGCAGGGCACCCGGGAAGGCGACACGTGGTTGCTACGTGGGAGACATGCCGGACGGTCGGATTTGTGTCTCCGGCTCCGCTGCTATAAATACCCGCGATAGCGACACTGTGAGGGACTTTTGGACGATCGATAGGTTGTTGTTAGAGAATCCCGACCGCAGTCAGTCGGTACTTAGAGCAACCATTTAGATTGTACTTAGGGCCTTCACCTTGATCAATAAAAGATTTAATTGCTTTATTTGGTCTTGTGTTTATTTAATTACCGCATTATGTGGCAATTAACACTATCAGGTTGATTCTTCAAAAGCATCAGACAAAGGCATTGGAAGTTTGTGGTCCACCATGCAATATGGACCAAAGTCTAGAAAGATATTTTTAAATAGTTTGGGGGTCAAAACACATTTTTCCAAAAATGATTTCTATATAATCACTTGGTTCAGGTTTCTCAGATTTCTCGCGGTTTTACTCAGATTGACTTTTGGATCAAAATTTAGGTACACAATGTACCCGAGAATTTAGGTTTTTGAAATAGAATAAATATCAGTGTCGAATTTATTTAAAACGTAATTCAAAATAATTAATTCAAGCACCGCTTTTAAAATAAATTTTTTGAAGGATGAGAAATGGCTATTTTGGGATATTGTAAAATAGAATTTAGAAAATTAAATTTTGGGTTGTCACATTCTACCCTCCTTAAAAGAAGTTTCGTCCTTGAAACTTAGAACGAACGAATGAGTTTTCTTAAAACGGAAACTTTCAAAAAGATGGTAAGAATTTCAAGATTTGGCTTAAGAGTTTTTCTTGGGATACTTGAAAGTTTAGGAATCTCTGAGTTTCAAGCTAACTCACCACAACTAAAACGCTACTCAAGATGAACGTAACTCTTTCATTCAGTTCTAACAGAAGAACGATTACAATAGTAAAGGAGATGCAAAGATGAAATAACTCCTAACTATTAGGAAAGCTATACAGGACTAAATCAACTAATACACAACTATGTAATATAATAATAATAAATAATAACAATAATAATAACATCACTAATACACCCCCTCAAGCTCAAGAGTGGTGAGAGACAATGTTGAGCTTGTCACGGAGCATAGAGAACCTCGGTGCAGGCAGCGGTTTAATGAAGACGTCTGCCAGCTGATCTTTAGTGGACACAAAATTAACTATGAAGTCCCCAGCAGCGACTCTGTCCCGAACAAAGTGGAAGTCAATTTCAATATGTTTAGTCCTGGCGTGAAAAACGGGATTAGCGCAAAGATATGTGGCGCCCAGGTTGTCACACCACAAGGTAGCCGGCTCGCCGGTGTGCAAACCAATTTCCCGAAGTAGAGACACAATCCAAGTAACTTCTGCAGAGACATCGGTTAGGGCTTTATACTCAGCTTCAGTCGAGGAGCGGGCAACGGTACGCTGCTTCCAAGAGAGCCAAGAAACAAGATTAGAACCTAAGAAGACAGCATACCCACTTGTGCTTTTTCTGTCGATAGGACACCCAGCCCAGTCGGAGTCCGAGAAGGCGTGAATAGTTGTGGAGGTCGAGGGTGACAGACGTAGCCCGCAGTCCAGAGTGTCCTTGATATACCGTAAGACTCGTTTCAAAAGCCCGTAATGATCGACCGTCGGTGAGTGCATAAACTGACAAAGGCGGTTAACCGCGTAAGAGAGATCTGGGCGAGTAATGGTGAGATACTGTAGCGCCCCAACAAGTCGCCTATACTGAGTTGGATTTTCGTACGGTTCGTCCGATGGTGTAACGGCCTTAGTCACAGCTGCTGGAGTAGCTAGAGGTTTGCAGTCCGTCATCCCAGCTCGCTGCAAAATATCATGCATGTAACGCCGCTGAGTAAGTAATAAGCCACTATCAATCGTTAGAGTCTCGATACCAAGAAAGAACCCCGGGTTACCAAGATCGCGAATTTTAAAAGCAGTGGATAACTGTCTGAGCAAAGTGTCAATTAAGGCCGAGTCGTTTCCCATCATTATGATATCATCCACATAGACTAAGAGGAATACCCGTGATGTACCACTCGACTAGTGAAAAAGTGAGACATCCGTCTTGGAGGCGGAAAAACCAGCTGATAGTAAATAATCATGGAGGCGTTTAAACCAGGCCCGGGGTGTTTGTTTTAAGCCATAGAGAGAGCGTTGCAGATGACACACGTAGTCAGGATGCGTAGAGTCTTCATAGCCTGGTGGCTGCTTCATGTACACAGTCTCAACAAGGTGGCCATTGAGAAAGGCATTGTGAACATCAAGCTGACGTAGAGTCCAACTACGTGACACGACAATGGAAAACAGCAGGCGAACGGTTGTAGGTTTAACAACAGGGCTGAAGGTGTCGAAGAAGTCTTCCCCTGCTACCTGATTGAACCCTTTGGCTACGAGGCGCGCTTTGTAACGGTCAACTATACCATCGGCTTTGCGTTTGGTGCGGAATACCTATTTACACCCGATGACATTCATATTTGGTGCAGCCGGGATTAGAGACCAGGTGTTATTATGTAGCAAAGCATTAAATTCTTGATCCATTGCATCCCGCCAGTGTGGATGCCCAACAGCTTGGGAGTAGCAAGTCGGATCAGTAGTGACAGTCAGGGCTTGGAATTCCTCCCCAGTGCCCCGAGTCATGTGTCGCAGTCGCATGACATGACCTCTATCTGGAGGCTGAGTGCGAGCCCTGCGACCCCTCCGTGCGGGAGGTGCTTGTATAGCTAGAACCGGGCTATCCCGAGCTAAGGGAGTGGGCTCCGGACTTAGCAAGGCAGGCCCTTGTGGTACAGGCTGATGTATATCAGAAGAGACTATAGGCCCGGACGCCCAGGAGGCAGGACCTGAAGTAGTCTGCGGTGTAGTTGTATCAGGTAAACCTGCAAAAGGAAAGGTGGTTTCGTCAAACCAGACATGACGACAGATAAAGAGTTTTCCACTCGTTAAGTCCATGCATCTATATCCCCTAAAGGACAGTGGGTAACCTAGGAACACACACGGGGCTGACCGGTACTCTATTTTGTGACGATTGTAGGGCCGTAGATGTGGATAACATCGGCACCCAAAGACTCGCAAGAATGTGTATGGAGGTGGTACTTTATGTAATTTGGTGTATGGACTTATGAACTGCAAGGCTGAAGAGGGTAGATAATTTATAAGACAACTTGCTGTTTCGAAGGCATAGTCCCAGTATTGTAATGGTACTGAGGCTTTGGCAAGTAGAGCTAACCCAGTGTCGACTATGTGCCGATTACGGCGCTCAACCCTGCCATTTTGTTCATGTGTCTAGGCACAATATTGCCTATGAACTATACCTAGGGATTGGAATGTTTTATGGAGTTTTTGATACTCACCCCCTAAGTCCGATTGAATTGACTTGATAGAACGCGAGAATTGTCGTTCTACCATCACACGAAAGCACTCAAAAGTTTTATAGATGTCTGATTTTAGCCTTAATGGATAAAACCAGCAAAAACGCGAGTAATCATCTACAAATAATAAAAAGTAACGAAATCCTGACGCAGAAATAACGGGGGCCGGGCCCCAAATGTCAGTGTACAGTAAATCTAATACATTTTGACTAGATGACACAACCCTATCTAACGGAAACCGAGATGATTTTCCGAGATGACATGCCGTACACGAACCCGATGCCTGGGACTTATTTTTGGTGGCCGGAACATTACGAAGAACACGACTCTGAACTTGATTATGCGGGTGACCCAATCTACGATGCCACACCCCTGGGTTGGCCCGGGAACTTATGAACGCGAAATGTTTTTGTGACACCGGTAACTTGTATAATCCACCCGAGGCGGGTCCCCTAAGTAGAATCGTTTTGGTGGCGGAATCCTTCACAACAAAACAATCCTTGTGAAACTAAAAAAAGACACCATTTTCATTAGTAAAACGATGGACAAATAAGAGAGGAACAGACAGGTTAGGCACATGTAAAATATTTGATAAAGATAACGGTTTAAATTGGGATGGAATAGACGCATGGCCAACTCGTGAAATTCTCAAACCTGTGTCGTTCCCGACTCGCAAAACATCACCGCTATTATACTCTTCAAAGTGAGACAACATAGATGCCGCCGGTGTAGCGTGAGTCGTCGCTCCTGTGTCCGGATACCAGGACTCTGCCGGAGCTGCTGCAGCATCGTCGCAAGCGACTACAATGTTGGCCTGCGCCGGTGGTTGCGGGAAATACCTCTTATAGCAATAGACTGCCGTATGAACGTGCGAACGGCATATCTGACAGCGGGGTGCTCTTCCTCTGCCACGACCGGAGCCACCACGACCTCGGCCATGCCGCCCTCGGTTCTATCTGCCGCGAGACTGCCCGCCGACGCCACCATCACCGGACTGCTGGCGTCCTCGCCCAGCGTACATAGCGGTCGGCCCACCAATACCTCCATCACTGGTCGCCGGAATCTCATCACTGATGATGAACTCGTGCGCCTGTAGGTAATCCAGAAGCTAAGGTATGGTAATAGGTGTACCTGTAACAGTTAACGAAGCAGCCATTGCCCGGAATTTCGGACGTAACCCCCTGAACACGTACATGTTCTGCTCATCAAGAGACAATGGCCGACCTGCCAATGCCAAAGCCTCCACGATCAACTGCGCTCTGCCCAAATACTCTGCTGTCGAATGGTTGCCCTGCCGAATCGATTGAAACTGCCCTAACAGATTCAAGGTTCGAGCACGCGTCGAAGAACCCAGAGCCGCAGTGATCGACTCCCATACTTCACGCGACGTGCTCCGGCCTACCGCAAGGTACATGACTTCGTCTGAAAGTGAGGATATGAGGAGAGACAGGATCGATTGATCCTGTTTAATCCACGCCTTGTAAGCAGGGTTTGGGCCGTAGGTAACCGTCGCAGCAGCCGAGTCTGATTCGCCGGAGGGTGGTGGTACTGCGACAGTCGCCGGTGGACACGGTGTATTGCCGTCTACGAAGCCGAGCAATTCTTGGCCTCGAACGAAAGGAACGAGTTGTGTCATCCAGAATAAGTAATTTTGAGAGGTCAGTTTTATGGAAACATAGTGGTGGGCGGAGGAGAGATTGGCGTGGGTGGTGGCCGGAGCAGAGGTTGGGGTGGTGGTGACGGTTCTTTCTGAGGAGTTGGTGGACATGGTGATCGGACAGAAATCGGAAAAAAAAAAGAGAGAGGAAAGGGATTGCGGATCGATGGCTAACTGATACCAGATGAACGTAACTCTTTCATTCAGTTCTAACAGAAGAACGATTACAATAGTAAAGGAGATGCAAAGCTGAAATAACTCCTAACTATTAGGAAAGCCATACAGGACTAAATCAACTAATACCCAACTATGTAACATAATAATAATAATAAATAATAACAATAATAATAACATCACTAATACTCAAAACTAACAACTTAAGTAAAGTCTACTAACTAAACTTAAAGCTTAACGATTTACCTTGATTGAAATCTCCGGGAGCACCACCTTGAGGCATGTAGTTGGGATCCCATCCATACGGAGTCCATCTTTGAACATTCTCCACTCCCCCATCTTTCTTCGAGAACTGCAGCCCTTTGATCAAGGTTTGCAAAACCGCACCACTTCTTCTGTGGTATGTTCAGACTAACCACGAATGCCATCCATTCCTCCATGGGCTTCTTAGCAATATCCGCCAAGGTCAGATATTTGTTGTCGGTGGTATGATACAGATCATAATATCTCATGTTTGCTACGTTAAGAGCTGTCCTTGTAGTTCTCTTTATCTTCTCTCCTCTTTCGGGTAGGTTCATCTTAATAAAGATCCAACTCAACACCATACCGTAAGGGAAATGCTTCCTATTCCTTGTCGATTTGGTCTAACGCCGCCCGTAGGAACTCTTATTCTCTATGGGACATTTAAACAAACACTTTGCCTTCACTTCTTTCAGGGTTTTGCCCTCTCAGATCGAAGACGAGGAAATGAAGAGGATCAAGGCTACCTGGATCTAGCAATCTCTTGCCTAGACCTAGGTTTCCAACACCATCCAAGGAGTTGGGCCCCACTCCAATCAATTAATCAAACATCACAAGATAAGCAAATCAAAGCATCATCACAATAACAATCTACACCTCAATCCTAACCACTAGATTTAGCCAAGCATAGTCAAGATCTCAACAAACAAAGGGCAAAAGGAGATATAACAATAAAGCACAAAGTAGATTTTATCACAATCGTTTAGATCCACTGAATACGAATCGTTGATGAAGATCTATTAGCCAAAATGCTTTCAACCGTCAAGCTTCTTTGCAAAATCTAGCATACAAGGTGTTTGCTATTGTAGATCTAAATCTCTCTCTCGAAACCTATTCTAACCCTACTAACCTCTCTCTAAAAATCTGATCTAACTAGTGAATTCTCTCTACACAAAGTTGACTCCCCCTTGCAAAATGAGATTTCAAGCTTAAATATGCCAATTCATTTCGGCATCCCATTCACGCACGGCGTCACGCCGGCGTGAATGGGGTATTAAGCCCCTCCGTTCGTAGCTTCGTCCGGCCTCCTTTAATGCTCCGTTTGCGCAGCCCTCACGGCGTGAGGAGGGGCGTGAGTGGGAAATAATTCCCATTCCGTCCTTCTTCTTCGTGCGTAGCCTTGGCGTGTTCGGTCCTCGTTCGCGTGCTTGCCTCGACTTAGCTTTTTCCGGCCTTTCTACCACGTTTCGAGTCCTAAAATGTCCAAAAATAGATAAAATAGAATTAGGAAGGTCTTTTTTTGTACTTTCGTGTTTTTACGATAATTTGCTCTATAAATAAGACCTTAGACTAAAATACACACGCAAAACCTTAGAAAAGCTCATAGAAACTTAGCATGTTTTGAGGCTTATCAGTGCTCTGGAAGACACAACATTGTGCTCTGGAAGACATAACGTGGTGCTCTGCAAAAGGAAGAACATGCACCAAAAGACAAAAAAAAAAAGAAAAAAAAAAAAAAAAACTTATGCAAATTAGGTATGCATAAA